TTTTTTTTTTTTTTTTTTTTTTTTTTTTTTTTTTTTTTTTTTTTTTTTTTTTTTTTTTTTTTTTTTTTTTTTTTTTTTTTTTTTTTTTTTATCTGCCTAAAAAATATTAATATAACATTTTTCAATTTTATTTTACTGTAACATGCAGTCTTTTATTAACTTTTAAAAAAAAATTAACGATAATAAAAAAAACTTTTTTTTTTAAAAGAATTATAAAAAAAAATTTTATTTTTTTTATTCAAAACATATTATAGTTAAATTATTTAAGAATTTTTCATATAAATGTTTATGCGCATACTTTTTTGTCATTTTATTTATTTATAACATTAATATAAAAAAAAAATTTTGTTGAATCATTTTTAAAATGTTTTAATTGTATCTACAATTTTGTTCTTTTTATAACATTATAAAACACTAGCCAAAACTATAAATTATTTAAGGAAAAAATATTTTCTTTTTTTATTTAATTAAAAAAAATAGTAAAAACAACCTACTATTTTATAATCATTTCATTGCATAATTCAAAGCATATTTTTTTTTTTTTTGTGTGTTTTTTTTTTTTAATGTACAATAGTATTTAATTAACCTGAATTCAATTTTGTAAACTGGAAAACTTTTTTTTTAATTTTTAAAGGTTAAAATTTTGATTTTTTTTTTTTTTTTATATAATTAGTAGTATATTATTATTTTTTGTTAATTATGTTTCAAGTATAGTTCCCATTATTTCAAAAATTACTTATATTTATTTTATTTATGGTAATAATGTTTATATAATTTTTATATATATAACAAATATATTTTTTTTTTTTTTCCTATTTTACATTTACTATCCATTCTTTTGAATTTCATTCTAAAATTAAGAAATAGAAAAAATATATATATATATATATATAGATACAAAAACATATAATATTTTAAATACATATAACCTTTTACTATTTTTTTTTTTTTTCTATTTCTCATTTTGTAAAAATGATTTTTAATAAATTTTTTAAAAAAAAAATTGAACTTGAAGTAGATTTGTATGTCTTAAAAAACGATGAGTCCATACCCCTTGTACTAGATGCAAAGTTATGTGTTAAAAAAAATGAAATATTAATATACAATAATTCTAAAAAATATATATTTTATGAAGATTATATTCATAATTTTAAATATCATGAAATGGATATGTGCCAATTTAAATATTTACGTCATAATGTAGTTGAAGAGTATGGTTTAGTTTTTTCAGATATAAGTAATATGTATTATTTTTATAAGTACATTATGTTCACATATATAAAAGGAAATATTATTCTATATAAAGATGTCAATTTATATAAATATAAAGAACCAAATAATGTATTGTATAAAAAAAATTACTATGGTATTTTAATATTTAACACTGCTAAATGTGAGCATTTATTAATTATTGTAAAATCAAATAGAGTAAAATTTGATGAAGATAATGAGAAAGATGCTTTATTAAATAAAAATAATGACACGGAAAATATAGAAAAAGTAGAAAAAGAAAAAATAAAAGATATAGAAAGTGAAAAATATTACAAAGAATTTACTATAGAAAATATAAAAGAATTATATAAAAGAAACAAAGTATTTTTAATATATATTTTAAACTCCTTTAATGATATTTATTTGAGTAGCGAATATGTGGGAATTCATGCAAAAAAATATTTATTTAAAAATCTTTTTAAATTTATAGAATACAAAACTTTATATCTTGATGGTGACACTTATAAAAAATATTATATCAAGAGTGATAACAATAAAAAAAATGAAAACAAAAAAATACAAAATAAATTAAGTAATAATAATAATAATAAAGATGAAATTAGTGAAGACAATTTAATGAATAATATTTCTATCAATGATGAAGACATGGAACATATTTTAAATGAAGATTTCGAAAGTATAGATAAAAAAATAAAAGAAGAGATGGATAATATCAAAATAAAAAAAGAAAATAAAAAAAAAAACAAAAATTCTAAAAATGAAATTGATGAATTAAAAGAACAAAAGAATGAAGAAAATAATAATGCAGATGATAAAAAAAAAAAAGGGGAAGATGATATATCATTAAAATTAAATAAATTAAATAAAAAAATATTAATCATTCTTGATTCAGATACTATACTAATTGATTACATTAAAAAAATATTAATTTATAGATGTGATTTTAAAAATGATATTGTAAACATAAAACAAGATTATATAGATGCACATACAAAGTGTCAAAATGATAATGAAGAAAAAATATATTACGAATTAAATGATGATGAAACAAATAAAAAAAAAAATTATGTTTTATTATCTGATTCGGAAGAAAGTGATAATTTAAATGACCAAGATGATTCTGATATGAAATATAAATATTTAAATACAACTGGAAAGTTTTCTTTTGTTATAAGACAAAATTATATACCTGAAAAACGAAAAGTGTTAATGCATAAAAACGAAAAAAGAGAAAATAATGTAAATTATTTTGATAATATAAATAATGACTTAAATATATACAAATTTGATGAATACGGAAAGGAAAAAAAGATATATAATTCTAATAAGGATTTATTTAAATATAAAAATGAGAAATGCATACCAAAAAATTTTCATGTTAATGATAATGAAGGAAATAAAATGGTTTTTCTCGATGAAAAAAATGAAAATAATATATTTATGATAGATGTAAACACAGAGAAAATTGTGGAAAAATGGGATACAGAATACATACCAGTAGCAAAATTATTAAAAAAGGAAGAAAATATTTATTGTGGTTATAATAAAAATAGTTTATATTATGTTGATACAAGAATGAAATCATGTATTCAAAACTTATTACAATATAATAAAAATGCATCGAATATCGAACATGCTAGTATAGATGAAAAAGGAAGAATAATCTTAACGAATTCACAAGGGGAATTAAAATATTATGATGGAAAATTAAATAATAGCAATGTAATCAAAAGAAGCAAAAATGTTGTTTTTTGTGCGAATGATATTGTTCATTTAACTGCGTCATCAGATGGTTTATATTCAGTCATTACTTGTGAAAAAAATGTAATAATTTGTGAAAATACTATTGAAAATAATACTCTATTTGAAGTAGTTATTAAAAAATGTGATAGAATAAAACAAAAGAAAATACTTTTGCAAATTCATTATGTTGATGTTTTTACATATAACTTAGGTGATTATAAATTCATTAAGAGTATTGTAAATCATGATAATTCATTTATCTTTACGCTATCACAAAATTTTTACGTTGTATGGAATTTTAAGCAAGCTATGAATGAAAATATTTCTTATATTATTAAAAAAGTTAATGAAAATATTTCAGATATTTCCTTTTTTAATGTCAATAATATTCAAGGTATTATCATGGCAACCGAAAATTCATTAAAATCTAAAAAAATTAAAAATACCTAATTAAGGTTAAAGAAACTTGAATTTTTTTTTTTCTTTATTTTTTTATATTTTAATTTTTTTTTTTTTTTTTTTTTATATTTAAAAACAAAGGTATACCATGTTTTCTTCTTTAGTTAGTATTATAATTTCTATTAACATTTATTTTTGCTAAAAAATATTTCAAACTTTAAAATTTTAAAACTATCCGTGAAATATTTAGAAGCATTTCAAGGAATATATAAAAAATAATTTTAAATAAAAAGAAATTTTATATTCATATAATTTAAAAAATTATAGAAACATTTTAAGATACTTTAAATTCTAAGTAGACACAATATAAAAAACATTTTTTTTTTTTAATTACATAAAAAATTACTTATAAGTACTTGAATTTATATATATATATATAAATATATGACTGTAGAAAACATTTACATATTTAAAAAAAAAATAATATTCATATTAATTTATAAAAACGAAATATGAAAAAAACTCAAAAAAAAAAAAAAAAAAAAGAAGTTATGATATATTAAAATTCTTTAATCTAACCTCAAAGATTTAAACATATAATTAATTATAGTATATCAAAAAAAAAAAAAAAAAAAAAATACTGTAAAAAAGTAGGAAAATTAAATAAAAAAATTTTACCATTATATTTTAATTTTAAAAAAATAATTAAATTTAAAATTTTTATATATAGAAAAAATAAGTTCATATATATATATATACATTATATAAACATTTTAACAGTATATTTAGGTAAAATTCAATAACCTAAGTTTCTTAAAATATATTAATTGCAATGGTATTTTTCTCGTTTTTTAAATTATAATATTATTTTATTATTAATAATATATTTAATACAATTAATTTGTAATTTTTACGTATTAATATTATACATATATAATTAAATGTAGATATTTTTCTTTTTTTCATAATGATCGTATTTTTTAAAATAATATATTTTCATATATATATATATTACAAATTATTATGCATTAATGATAAATTTTATTTTCCATATTCAATACATGAAAATTATTACTTTTTGTGCTATATATTTCAGAATATATATATATATATAAATATATATTTTTTATTTATTTTTTTATATAATTAAAATTTTTTCAAAATAAGTTTCTTTTTTTTTCTTAAAAAACCTCATATTTTTTTTTTTTTTAAATTAATTTTTTAGCACTACTTTTTTTATTCATAAAATATAATAAAATGCTTTTTTTCAATAAATTTTCGTGTTTTTACATTTATTCAATGTTTTTATATAAAATTGAATAGCCTTTATTTTTTATTAATTTTTTTTTTTTTTATCGTTTTATAATATTTTATTATTAATTCCTTTTTTTTTATTTTTATGAAATTTTTTTTTCACCATTTTTTTTATTTTACTTTTTATGTTTTTTCTTTTTATCTGAATTTATTTTTATTTATTTTTTATACCTATTGTTCTTTACATTTTTTTACCTCTTTTATATTTTATTCTTTTTCTTTTTTCTTTACTTTTTTATTATATATATATATATATATATTTTTTTATTCTTTATTTTTATTTTTCTTTTTTTTCCATTTTTTTTTTTTTTATATTTTTTATATTTATTTTATTTACTCCTTTTTCTTAATAATATTCATATATTTTTTTTATATATATTTAAACAAATACATACAAATAATATATATATCTTTAAAGCATAAATTGGTTATTTTGCATTCTGAGTACTTAAAAAAAAAAGTTATATTTAAAATTTGAAATAAGCTTTGATTTAATAATATCATTAATACAATGAGTAACGAAATTTTAAATTCAACAATTGATGGAGTTTTGAATACCCGACTTCATATTCAAAATATACCTCCACATATAACTGATGTACATTTAAGATCGTTATTGGGAAATGTTGGATATATAAAAGATATTTGTTATTTTAATAAAAATAAAAAACAAATGAATAATTTTACAAATAAGAAAATATATAATACAGCATTAATTACCTTTAACACACATGAAGAAGCGTTAAATGTTTTGAAAAATATTAGAAGTTTAAT